TATACCGCTGATCCCACTGGAAGATCTTCCTCGCATTTGGAACCATCCGTATAAAAAGAAATCGCTTCGCTCTTGACTACGGCGGATTTTTCTTCAAATTCTATTTTCACTCTTAGATCCGAGTCAAGTTTAAGTCCTTTAAGAGAGTCGTCGTATTGTTGCCTGAAAATTAGAGTTTCATAATTGTGCTGAAACGCAGGTGGATAAATGGATTTATGTATAGAGGACTCCTGATGTTTGAGCATAACATACTGCTTGAAGAATGGAGAGTTTTTAATTGCTGCTATCCTTCTTTCCCCAGGCGGGGCCTCCAATTCCAATCTCTTAAGGCTGTTGGTTACCGGGTTGAAGTCTCTTGCGAAAGTTTTGTACACGAATTTGGCCGCCAAGTAGTTAAAACGCAATTTCAGTGGAGGCTCTCTGGCTTCGCAGAGCATAACGTTAATGGGAGTGGATGCTCTGTATCCCATCGAAATCCTAATGGCCTTGTATTGGATTCTTTCCAGTTGTAAGAAGAGACCTGAGCTCTTTTTCCACACGAAAACCTGGCAACCATATTCTATGGAACTACGTAGGATAGATCTATATATGGTAAGGAGCAGTTGAGGATGGGAGCCCCACCAAACTCCCGCCAGTGCTCTGAGAACATTGATGAGTGTCTTTCCCTTTCTAATAAGATATTTCAGATGTAAGTCACCTTTAAGCTTCCTATCCAAGATGATGCCTAAGAAGCGCACCGAGTCGGCTCTGGGCACAGGGGTACCAGAAATGTCTAAAACAGGAATGTCAGTGGGTAACTTCCTTTTTCTTGTGAATATTACACATTTAGACTTAGACGGAGACAGATCTAATCCCTTACTTTTCAGATACTCGCAGATGTTATTCAACGATGTCTGTATGGCTATCATAGCCTCTTCAAGTTTGGTGGAAGTAGTAAGAATTACTACATCATCTGCATATTGTAGCAGTTTAGTGGGATGCTTTACACATTCTTCTATGCCTCGTAGATGTAAGTCAAAGATGGTAGGGCTGGAAGTAGAGCCCTGCGGAGTCCCTTTAGAAGTAATAAATGGGCCTTCCAATTCACCTTTATTAATATAAAAGATCCTTCTAGAAGAGATCAGATTCTCCACGAATTTTCGCATTTTTGCTGGAACTCCTAAGTCTTTAAGGTCCTTAATAATTATTTCTGGAAGAACATTATCAAAGGCACCAACAATATCCAAGAACACTGCAACCGTGTAGGCGTTTTTTTGGAATCCTGCCTGAATGCGAGTGGTTAATGCTGTGAGGTTATCCGTGCATGATCTTCCTGGGCGAAAGCCCATCTGTGCTTGCGGTAACACAAGATTGGATTCTATAAGCCATGAGAGTCTCAGATACAAAACTTTTTCTAGCAGTTTAAGGCCGCAGGACAATAGCGAGATAGGACGTAGCCCAGTATTACCTGGCTTAGGAATGAAGACAACCAGAGAGGTGTTCCAAGCTTCAGGAAATCGACCCTCGTTCAAAATACCGTTAAAGATTTTTAACAAGATTTCCAAATATTCGGGCGTGAGACAAGCAATCATTTGAAAGCTAACCTGATCAAGTCCGGGAGCAGATTTTTGTTTGGAAGAGTTGATTGCTAAGTGCAGCTCATTCATAGTAATAGGATAGTCGAGTGCTTTATGAACGGATGGATTGTTATGGTCCTCCATGATCATATCCTGCAAAGAATGCGTATGGTTATTAGGGCAGAAGGGAGGACATATTTTATCCCTGGCCTGAGCAAGCATATTCTCTTCCGTGGAGGAATCTATAATTTTATTATAATCATTCAAGCTTTTGCGCTTGAAAGATTTGACTAAAGACCATACCTCAGTGGTCGGTGTTTTGAAGTCGAAAGAATTGACGAGGCTTCTCCACCCCTTCCTTTTTTGCCGGTATAAAGTTTTGTTGCATAGGGCTCTTTGTTTCTTGAAGTTCAGAAAATTTTGGAGGGTGGGATCTTTTTGATAGGCCTTAGCCGCCGTTCTTCGTTTCACTACAGCCTCCCGACAGCTATCGTTCCACCAGGGGGGAGGGTCCTTTAAGCGAGACTGGCAAACCGAGCGCGGATTATGCGCTCTCGGAGGAAGAAGAGCCCTAGTATTTTCCACTAGATGACTCATGAATCTGTCATATGCTTCGATGGGATCAAGAGGGATGCTTTCAGAGAATTCTGTAAAATTATTATGAAGATTAAAACGAAGAGATGCCTCCTCCTTTCGACTGAGTCTTAGTTTGTAGAGAAAACGCTTTTTAACCTCCAGCTTACCTCCTAGCTTAGTGACGATAGGATAATGGTCACTACCAAGTGAGTCACCTAGAGTTACGCTCTCACATAAAGGGGCCAGGGACGCAGAAGCGAATACCAAATCTATTATAGATTTTTTGTGACCTGGAGGGGTAATGAGAGTAGACGAATCATCATTCATGATGCAAATGTTATGTTTATCAAAAATTTTCCAAATGTTGCGGCCTGACTTGTCAGTGGCGTCGCATCCCCAAGCAATATGGTGTGCGTTAAAGTCGCCCAAAATTAGAAAATTCACCAAGCTAGACTGGAATTTTTGGTCCGGATTGTATTTTGAGATAAGTGAAATAAGATCCTCAAACCAGTCAGTAGCGGATCTAGGATCCGGATGACGGTAAAGATTGACCAGGATTAGCGCTCCTTTCTCGTATGTAAGGACAATGCCTTGTAGCTCCAGTGAAGGGTGGCAGATCGATGTAAGATCTAGGATGTCAAAGGAAATTCTATTGTTGATTAAGATGCACGTGCCCCTCTGACCCGGCAGCGACACGTCGTTCCTAAGAGTCTTGAAACCTTTAAGGGAGAACATTGAGGTGGTCGAAAGGAGAGATTCCTGTATACAGACAATATCATATTCATTGCAAATTTGTTGTAATTGCGGAAGCTTCCCGCGGATCCCACAGCAATTCCACTGTAGGATGCGCAA